CACTCATGAATCCATCATTGAAATCAGATACATGGATTCCTGACGGAATTTTAATCTTTGCCAAGCTTAGGGTGTTTTCAAATAAAAGTCAATACATGTAAATTAGAACAAAATGAACAGGACTTCACGACACTAAATCTCACTTTTCTCAATACAGCAATCAATAATGAAAAATTTCATAAAGCAAATGTTTGCTCTTAATTAGCTCTTTAAAACAAAAAACAAGATTGGTTAAATTTTTTTAACTAGATAAGAGAAGTTTTCGTTTTTCTGATTGAAAACTACACTCTGAGGAGAACAATAAATAATTTTACATATAGACATTTTCATTCAAATCCAAATAAAAAGACTTATTAAAATCGCATTTCCATAATTTTACATTCAACTCTTTATTGAAGTTCTCGCTTCGAAATTGCATTGCTATCCTAGGCTTCACTCTGAGTGTTTTATTTGAGCTATTCAATTATGTACTATAGACCTTTGAATACTCGTTTTATAAAAAATTAAGCGTCAGCTTCCATAGGCGCAATATAATGACATGAATTATCAAAAATAAGATTTTGTCCAGAAAGACTCGTATGAAGAATCGATATTTTTCCCTTATATTAAAAACAGATATCCGATTTTATACAGAGTTTGTTTTGTATAAACAATGTAGCACCGGATATTTCTAATGCTTCTGTTTGACTATATATATAAATATCAGCTTTCTTACCATCAGAAAATGATAAATTAGATTCTTCTGATATATGCTCATCAGTATACATATTATCTGATTTCGTAACATCAAAATTCTATTAATTATCCAAATCTGAGTCTTGAACATCGCTCATATCATCATCAACTTCCTTCTTATCTGTGAATATAAATACATTTGTTAGTTTTTCTTACACTTTTACAAACGCGTCAGTAATTTCACATGGGGTGTGTGTGTAATTCTTCTGTGGGATGATACACCCACGCTCACATGCTCATATGTATTTTTTCGAAGAAAAAAAAAGTAAGTTCATAAGCTTCAAGTTTACGTTTTTGCAGCCTTTTCTTCCCTATGACAGACTGTAGTAACTATCTTTATCGTCGTTAATTATTCAAACTTATATGACATATATGAGTTCCACATGGTAGCCCCAGATGAGTTGCACTAATAAGCTTTCTTATTAATGTTAATGAACAAATACTAATTCAGACTTTAAGTGAATATTAGTATTATTTCATATGAAAAATTATAAAATTAAAAATGTAAACAAGATCAACTTAGTATGAACAAGTTCAATATTAAATTTATAATAAAAAAAAGAACAAATAATATAGTCAATAAATTATTTCGCAACTTTATCCAACAATATATGAAGTGTTTTTTGTATATCGTTCATTGTATTGTTTATATTTATATTCATGTCAACAAGTTTCTCTTCTATATTATCAATTTTAGCTTTCAGGAATGTTAATTGTCTCGTAACTTCATATGTTTTATCACTTGCAGTGCGTTGTAAAGTAATTATATCAATTTGATCAACACAACGATCAATTAATTTTCGTTGTTTATGTTTAATAAGTTGAAGAGAATCTATTGCATTAAATAGTTGCCGTTGTGCTTGAAGATGTTGAATAGATAATCCAGATCTATGTTTTTTTCTTAAATACCAAATTTTTACTGTAAATTTAACTACATTTGCCGCTTGTGATTTACGATCTTTCTCCAATTCCGCCTGCAATGCAAAATTATGCACATATTTTTCCCATCGATCCAACAAAAGCATTTGTGCAAGAACAGCAATAACAAGAGCCGTTGAAAAGACACCAACTAAACCGATTATAGCAGCAATACCTAATAATAAAAAGAAAAATAAAACATTTATTCAAATATGAAAAGTAAAAATATTTGTTTTTTCTTTTTTTTTATTAATTATAATTCATTTACTTCGTCCACAGTATGAAGAAGGTACCAAATCTCCATAACCAACCGTACTAAATGTCACAATGAACAACCACATTGCATCAAGCACTGATAAATGTTGATTGTTTGGTAAGTAACTACATGCACGTAAACACCAACTTCCAATAATACAGAGAATTACACAAAATGCTGTTAACCAAATTGTTGGAAATCGTTCAAGATGAGTTTTCATAAGAAAGAAGAAATTAATTGATACTTTATTAAGATAACCAATGGATCGTAGTGATACATCACGAAATAGATGTGAATGAAACATGATAACACGACCAAATAAATAAAGACGAGCAAACACTAATAATTTACTCAGACTTTAAATATGATAAAGAGAACTAAGAATTTGATACTTACTTGGCAAACCAAGTAATATATCGCCAGCCATAGAAGAAAAAGTATCATGAGTAGATACAGTTGAATTTGAACTTATATTTTCTAATGATGTATTCGAATGAAGAGGAAACGAATGAGGTATAGGATGTATAGCACAAACTAATATTTCAATTGCTATTAAGAATATTTTTGTGTATGTTATTGTAAAATGGCAATCATTAATTGAATTATTAACAGAATAGAGATTTATATCTATACGATGATAATATAATATTAACCCAATAAGAACAATTGTTGACAAAGTAATAGTTAATTTGATAAACCAACTGAGTTTAGCATATTCATCATCAATTTGATTAAATCCTATTTCATTGACAATAGTCATAAGAATAATTCCAAAAACACCAAGAAAACACATAATATCACTTAGACGACAACTAAAACATATAAAACAATATTTAAAAAAAAAACAAACAAACTCAAACAGACATATTTCATACAGTCGATTATTTAATTGTTTTCGTACAGCTAATCGACGACTAATCAAAGATAATATAAAATTTGTAGCAATCTTATGTGTTTTAACATATACAGGATGAGTCTCTTTGTCATTGGAAATATTTGAATGTATAGAAACTGTCGTTGTAGGTGGTATAAGAACTGTATTCATAGATTCAGTTTGTTTATCAGTTGATGACGAATCAGTTTTAACGAGATTAATCAATTGTATACAAGTATCTTTAACAGAATTAATATCATATTGATCTAAAATAAATAATTATATTTATCAAAATTATAATGAATAATTAATAATAAATATGTTTACTTGATAATATGAATATTTGTTTACAATATTTTTTCATATTTAATGATACAGGTTTGACGAATGATTAAAAAATGAGTAGTAAATCTGTCTCAATGAAAATCTTGTATGTTTAGATTATTCTTTTTTTTTTGTTTGTATTATCAATATATTTTATCAAAAGTAAGCGAAAATTTATCGTCTTTTTTTTTGAAGAGCTTTCCTAGATTGTTATTTATTTCGATAGACTTACATAGTTCTACTAATATAAATTGAAAACAAAAATGATCATTCAAATTTGTTTTTTTTTTCATTATAATTATCTATAACTGATAATAACAATATTATTTTCTACAAACATCATATTTAATTTGTATAAAATAAAATCATTGATCATTTATTTTATGTAAGACAATGATTGTTATGTTAATCACACTCTGAAGCAAAACAGTTGATTCCAAAGAGAGAATAAAATAGTAATAGCTTATTTTGGCTACATATGTGCTTCACTTGTAAAAATAAAATGACATGAATGATATTACATGTCTAATGTTGCATTTCCTAATATGTCAGATACACATCGATAACACATATTCTTCTCATGTTGTTATTGTTAACAAAGTTTGTTTTTTTTTCCGTAGGAAAACATTAATTTCTCTTTTTTTTTTTTCTTTTCTATTTTAAAAAATGAATTGATTTTCAAATTTATTCGAATAGTATACGATATTTTGTTTTTTTTGAAATTGTAATATTAAATGTATGTTTACTTTCCAAATCATATGTTGATCATCGTCCTTCATAGTTTTTATATAAATTAAAATGAAAATGAGAAAAGAAAAGAGACATTTGTAAGAAATAACATGTTTCGAATGGTCTCTTAAAAACTCTATAACTTTGTTTTATGCTACCATCGATGATAATAATTTCATAGAACAACTAATTATATAATTAAAAACTATTTTATATAATTTCTTGATTACTAATACTTAATCTGTCGGTATCTGTCAAATCCATTCTAAAATTCAGTCGAATTCAAATTAGACCTATCAATTACATATCGAAAATAAATGAATTTTCATATTTTGACCTTAAAGATAGAATTTGTCATGAAAATCATTACAGAAGTAATTATCAATATTCTCATTTGTTCTCGGAGTATTGACTAATTGTTTATTATTGACTATTATCCTACGATTATAACCCCTAATATGTTAAAAATGAAGAACTACAGAACTAGAAAGAGATTATTTATAATGCTTCTTTAAGAATTCAATTGACTAGTTAGCATAAATTGTTGTATTATGGTGCATATCAAATACTATGTAAAATATTCTATTACTCTTATGTTCCATTAATTCTCGATGCACCAAAACTAGCAAATAACTTATCAATATACAAGTAACACTTCATCTAAATCAATGTTGTATGCAGTTGTTGTTTTTCTTTGTTGCAAAAGTCGAACATCTATTCTAATAGCTTAACTGATTGTATCTCTATACATCCAATAAAGAATTCAATAGAATGTGCTCTGAACCTTTGTGAATTCATATAATCTATTTTATGATTTTGTTTTCGAGAAATATTAAGTTTTTCTGAAGTCAATCAAAAGTATGACTGAACTTAAATAAAATCATACTATAATTATAATATTTTCTTTTCTTTATATCTCCTTCTATACGAACTTTTTTCCATACATTTATTTAAAAAAAATCAAAATCTATCATACATATAAATCTTGAACGTTGAATTCAATTGTTCAAAAATTAAAAAAGAACAAAATCTATCCGTTTAATTTACCTTTTATATCTATTTCAATGCATGAAGGTTCGCAGTGTCCTGTAGAGCCGGAGTCCATAATTGGCTGTGTTTGCAAATAAAGTCTATCTTTATTTTATGCTTTGATAGTACAGAAAACAACACAAAAAGACATAAAAGGACATACACAAAAAGGAAGTATAGAAAATAATGTACAGACAAACACGTAAAGATAAGGATGTGTAGGAAAGAACATATAAAAGGACATACAGAAAGAAAGCACATACTCGAATATACAGAAAAGCATATATATATATATATTTATATTTAGGAGATGTAAATCTAAATAGATGAGAATATTATAGAAATTTTCTCGCCTTTTCGTGATGACACGATGAAACGGATAAATTTTCGTAACTTTCAAATAGGAAAAAAAAATAATAAACTTCAAAAGTTTTTCACTTGAATAAAACCTTTTTTTATTATAACGAATCTTTTAATCATATCAAGTGAAAAAAATGAGCCTCATTGTTCGGGATAGCACTTTCATTTTCTTTCTACTTTCCGAAAGGAAAAGAAAGTTATTAGTATCCCTAACTTTTCTTTCCAAAGAGAAAAGAAAGGAAGGTTGCAATGCTTTCATATTATTACAAATTAACAGTATCTTTATTATCAACGATAGGGGGTACTAAAGCAATTATTTGAATATCAGTAACTTCAATGAATCTTTATTTTTCTTTTTTCTTCATTCTTTTCTCATCGCTTCTAATTAAACTTCTACTATTGATATTTCATATTTGTTTCTTTCAATCTTTCATTAGTATTTTTCATGTTTGCATGCTACTTCATTACAATACGTTTAAAATTCAAACGTTCTTGATTCACCTCTTATAACAAGAAAAAATTATAAACAATGATTCTGGTCCGATCTCAAACAAGTTTTGAGTGTTTGTCAATAAAAGAGAGTAGTTAGAAGGAACAGTTTTCTTTCTTATCAATTGTTCTTTATAAATTTCATTCACGTTTGAGCTAATAGACGAATTTTTTAAGTGTTTAAATCAAATCTTATATGGTCTATATGACGATTGGTGCAATAGTTCTGCATTAATTTTATTGAAAATGTTTCTTAGAAGTCACAGAAACTTAAGAATAAAAAGCGTCGAAAAAAAAATATGCAACTTTTTTTGAATTTAGGAAAGATTTCATTTAATCTGAGCAATCATATTTTTATTTGTCTAAGCCGAGTTTTAAACAAATACGGGTAGTAAAGTCTTGTATCAATAAAAAAAGAAATCCTTGGTATCCTTTATAATGGTTGAAATTAATGCTCTAATGATACTATCTCCAATCTGCATTTTTCATCACTCTTAATCATAGTCGAAAAAATTCTATTCCGGCAGATCGTTTGTTAAAATCTATATATTTTATATGAAAAACAAATCTTACTAAATCTTCTATCGTATGACAATATTTGAAAAAAAGAACACAGATTTTCTGTGAGCTATTCAGTCAAACATTTGTTTTAACATTGCAAACCACAAATTCGTTAGATTCATTTTTTTTTCAATGAAATATTCTTCTGTTTATTTTCTTATATACTAGACAAATTATTTTAATACCACATGAAAGCCTTCTCTGTATAATAAACAACTATATATATATATATGATTCTTGAAAATACTGCACGGTAATAAAGAAAAAGCTAAAAAAAAATTCTCACCAAAGTTGCGGAACCCTTTTTTAGACGCTTTTTGTTCTTAAGTTTCTGTGACCTCTAAGAAACATTTTCAATAAAATTCTTTTGAGCATTTTGACATTCCGCTACAGTGATACATCATAAACAAAATTAATGTAAAACTTCTGTACCATTCGTTACTATACATTAGTCTAGGGTGTGGGTGTAAATGTGCGTGCGGGACTTGGTGTAAAAGTAAAGCAGATTCACACCCACACCCTCCCATGCGATAGAATGATTTTGAAAGCCTTACATGAAGTGGGATGGGATGATTCTGAAAATTTTTCGTCCCATCCTACAAAATGCCTTGAATGCTATTGAAAATAATGTTAAACGACAAGAAAATGTTTTCAGGTATGATTACATTAATAAAATGATGATCACCATCGTTCTTAAACAGAAAACTCAAATTGTCGATTAAAAATAACAAAACAAAATGATCTCAATTGATGGATAATTATAACTATATTAATGATAATTGAACTATTATAAAAGCTTAAAAATCATTTGGTGTTTCTAATCTTTCATGATTCTTTTAATATTCAATTATAATACTTAGATTGGAAGTCTACTAAATAATCCGAATGTTATATACAAAGTTAAATGGCATAGATAATTCTAATATATTTCTAGGCGAAAAGGTTTCACTTCAAGATGATGCTATTTCTACCTGTCACAGCAACTTCAGTTAACATGAGATAAAAAAAATAACTATTTCTGACATCGATGTCAACTGTTTAGATCATTTTTCTAAAATCTGCATAGTATATTTTACACGATTTCTATATTGTATTTCTCAGTATTGGATGTAAGTGTGGGTATAGTTGTTGATTTATCTCAAGCTAATACCCACACCCGCATCCTCATAAATAAGTTCAATCTTCTGATGATAAGAGTCGCACCAGGAATTTCTTAATACTACAATGATATTCACTTCAATTAAACTATATTGAATCTTTTCATGTGTCAAGCACAGTCCTATGTACGAACACAATCATATTCTATTGTCTGAAAAGCGAATGTGAACTTTTCTTAAGTGTTGTATAAATTGAACAGTTGATAGATATCATCAAACAAAACCTTCATTCAAGAGTGAAACAAGAAAAAGTTACAATAAAATTGACTATGTTGAAATTTTCTTCAAATATTTAACATTGCATATGAAAATTCATTCTACAAAGGTTAACAAGAAACAGAAATAAAAAAATTTCGATTATTTATTGTTCGCGTTGTAGCTCTTGCAACTACACCTAATAAATAAACAAGAACAACAAAAAAAATAATGATTTTTTCTTCCATTCAACAACCCACCATGAGTTTTCAGCGCTCAAGAAAAAATTGATGTTGTGTAACAAAATCAAAATAAAAGAATTCTTCGCAAAGATTACATCGAAGATATAAATGGGTATAACAATAAGTGTTGTAAGGAGATGGTGGTGCTATAACAGAATATCGCGATACCGCTTCTATCTCTTATTGTCTTTGATGTGTTCTTTCAGACGTTTCTTTTGTTCTGAATATATCATAAAACTAAATTCGCCATAAATTTGCGATGAGATCGAACAATTATTCAGAACTATGTTTATTACTCATCTTATAAACACTCAATTGTGTATATGAAAATAGTAAAATGTTCTTTCATATTTGTTCACTTTTGATTATTTAGACTTTTTAGTGTTATATTAGCATTTGATATAAAACTGAAACTTATTCTCTCTTGAATAAGATATTAATAGAACAAACATAAAATGAAGAACCTTTTTTTTATTTACAATTGAATTCTAAAATCTTTGCAAGAATTTCAAAATTAAAATATTTTCAACAGATGGCATTGATATCGGTTTTTTTTCTTTTACTATTATTTAATCAAAATTAGAGAAAAAGAATTTAAAAAATATCTTTATAAAAAATGAGATCTAAAAGAATATTATTTATAAGAAATTAAAATATTAATTATCTTATTGATCCACGAATCATGATGAATCATCATCAGTGTGTGGTGTTTTTTTATCCTTTTTTCTTTTATTTTTTTATTGCTTACTCAACCATTTCACTCAACAACTAAGTCCTTAGTAATGGTTCTCAAATATTTAATTGCTATAGGTATTGCTGTTGCAATTATTCCATTAGGTATTCATCAAATACCTGAAGGACATGTTGGAATATATTATAGGTAAACAAAAATCCCAATATTTTCTTTTAAAATATTTTTTTTTCTATTTATAATCAAGAGGTGGTGCACTTCTAACATCAATGACTGCACCTGGTTATCATGTTATGGCACCTTTTCTTACAACAGTTAAAGTTGTTCAAACAACATTACAAACCGATGAAGGTAATATATATATATATATGTTTTTCTTTTATTTTACTAAGATTTTTTTTTCTTTAGTAAAAAATATTCCTTGTGGAACTAGTGGTGGAACAATGATTTATTTTGATAAAATTGAAGTTGTTAATATTTTAAGTCGTGAAGCTGTTATTGATATTGTACGAAATTATACTGTAAATTATGATCGAACATTAATATTTGATAAAATTCATCATGAAGTTAATCAATTTTGTTCAGTACATACACTTCAAGAAGTTTATATTGATTTATTTTCCAGTATTGATGATCATCTTAAACGAACAATACAAAATGATTTAAATATATTAGCACCTGGACTTTTTATTAGTTCAGTTCGAGGTAAAAAATTATATTTAAAAATATAATGAAATTTAAAAAAAAAAAATATTTTAATTTAAAGTAACAAAACCAAAAATTCCTGAAGCTATTCGTCGAAATTATGAAACAATGGAACAAGAAAAAACACAGTAAAATATTTCGTTTTTTGTTCAAATTGAATATGAATATAAAATAGATAGTAAAATAAGAAGAATTTCTAAGCTAGTAAATTGGTTTATAGGGCTTTTTTCCACTGTGAGGATTTTCTGTGTTTTGCGAGTTTAATATTCCAGGAAGGAAAAGTTCTTTTGAGTTGAAATTTTTAGAACATTCTACTCATGCATAGACCTGTTTATGGACAAAACGTCAGATTGAAATAGCGTTATTCGATTTATTCATATATACCATACCCTAGGCTAAAATTCCAGTAAAATGCCTATAATTCTAGACAGAAAGTCTAAGAAGATTTAATCTTTTATAACTCATAAGATATTTGAAATTTGTACGGAAATTTTTATTTTCTATAGTCAAGATGACATTATAGATAAATCTATTCGAACCGCATTATATTGACAAATAATGAAATTTACCGAACAAATTTGAAACATACATCATTTGACTCAATGTTGTATATTGAACATGATTTTTGTATTAGATTTATTTTTTTTTAATTTTAATTATTATTTCATCATAAATACTTGGCATATTATTAATCTTTAGTCAAAATCAACGCTTTCATGACAATCTATACCTTCTTGAAATGTTTCTCTCTATCAATATTTGAAGTATCATTTATAAATTTTTTAAATTACTCTAAAGAAATCTTAATGATAAAAAAAACTTTATGACGTTTGCTATTTCTGTTGAAAATGTACAGTGAACTTGTCCGACACTCTACTGATGGTTTTTCAAGATTTTACTATATAACCTACTAGTTGAAATGAAAAACATCTTAGTTGTTATTCGATGAAAAGTACCAAGGTTTTATTATAAAAGATGTTTATCTTAACATATCTCTTTCATTGAAAGAAGTCCTATAGACTGATTTATGATATTTTTAACATTTTTCTTCTTTAAAAATAGATATATGATAACAACAGCTCATCAACAAGTTGTTGAAAAAGAAGCAGAAACTGATCGTCGTCGTGCTGTTATTGAAGCTGAAAAATTAGCACAAGTAGCAAAAATTCAATATGAACAAAAAATTTTAGGAAAAGAAGCTGAAAAACGTATTGCTGAAATTGAAGCTGAAATGCATTTAGCTAAAGAACGTTCATTAGCTGATGCAAATAAATATAAAACTGATACAGAAGCTGAATCAAATAAAGCAAAATTAACACCAGAATATCTTCAATGGTCAATGTATCAAGCATTAGCACAAAATACAAAAATTTATTTTGGTAATTCAATTCCAAATATATTTACAACAGATATAATAACAGATGATCAATCAAAACAAACAAAATAAATTTTCAAATATAATAATGATTAAAAAACAATTATTTGTTTTTTTTATTTAATTGGTGATACATAAATATAATCTATATACATATTTTGTGTTTCTTTTCTTTTTATTCAATAAGCTTTATTGCAAAAAAAAAAAATAAGAAAACTTGTAGAATATATTAGTTTTTTCTTGTTTGTTTTGCTTTTATTATCAAGATGTACTTGACTTATTACGAAAAATTCATAGGTAGGTATCGATTATATTCTTTTTTTAAACATGATCAATTTTTTTTTTTTTGTTTTTTTTTTGTCACGCTATTATTGTTCCCTCAAGAAATTAAATCTTTAGAAAAAAAACAAAAAAGGATTTTTATATTATTTATTCTCAGTTATATATGTCAATAAGAAATCAATGAATATTTATTTGATAATATGAAATATTCTTTAAAAAAAAGTTAATTATGTTAAGAAAATCGATCTTTGAATGAAAAGATCTATAACAAACTTTTGTTTCATATATTTGTACACAATCGATGATCAATTTGTTTGTTTTACTATAACATAGCAACATTGATCTGTTATCATATCGAATTTCTTTCTTTTTTTCTCTCTCTACGGAATTTTTAGCAAATTAATTGTTTTAATGATGAAAGAAAAGCAAAAAAAACAAGTTCGTTTTTGATCATATAATCAAAAATATAAGAACATATACTTGTTGAAACTTAAATAATAGAGAAACATGGAAAGAAGACGTTTACAACAACAAAAAATGAAAGAACAACAACGTTTTTGTGTTAGCCAACAAGATTTAACTAAAGCAATAACACATATGAAAACACAACGACATGCAACATATAATAATATAATGAATATTTCATCATCATCATCATTATCACATTCAATAGATACATTAACTATTCCTTCAGTTTCACAAATTATTAAAGATTTTGATGTACAATCTATATCAACACCTTATCTAAGTGCTCAAGATTTTATACCAATCAATAATGATATTATTTCTGATGAAACAGAATCTGATTGTTTTCAACGAATATCTACTCGAACAATAAAAACCAAGGTTAATAATAACAACAATAATAATATTTCTTATATCGATAACGATCAAACGCTTAGTAGA